GAATATCACTTTATGTTAATACTTTTAAGGGCATGGAATACAAAGTAAGTCTTATCAACATTTGCAATCATTGTTGAAAAAAAAACAAATCATTACCATCATAGAGTTATTTGGAAAAAGAAATATGTTCTCAATTGGCAGATTATGAATATAGTCCTTTTCCATACAGCAGTACAAAAATGCTTCGAATTTACAAATTCTAGCTCTACATCGTATAAGTACTATGATGTTTTGGTCCAAACACCAACTAAAGCAACCACCACGTTATCATAGTATAAATAAGGAGACCCAATAGCATCTTCTGGAAGTGTTCTTTGAGTTATCTGATCTGGTTCGGTAAGAACTCCAAAACCAATCATTGGATTAGGAAGATGAACTGCATGATTGTCTTCATCAAGAAGCTTCTTTCCAACCTACCTATGCTTCTTCTTTTTTAAGAAAATCATAGCCCAAGTTTCGCCTTTTCTTGTAATTGGGATCATTGCATAATGGCTTCCTATCTTTTACCGGAAAAAGTGCATCAACAATCTTAGTCATTTGAGCAGCACATATAAAATCTGTCAACTCTGCAATTGATGAATCAAGACCACATCTCTATGACTATTGAAGACTTAGCATTTGAGTATCCTATTTTCGTCAAGTATAACAGTTTACTCTCCTCATCAGAATCAGAATTCAGGATTTCCTCGGTATCAGAAGATCTATCAATATCTGTGAAATCACCCTGAAAGATCGCTTCATAGTCAGATGAGTAGTTATCAGAATCAACATGTTGCATGAGTGCGGGCTTTTCAAGAGCCTATACTATTGAGTTTTATTCTCAAGTGGTTTTATGACATCATGCAAAAATTCAGGCATATCTACATCTACACTCTTCAAAGATGATAGATTCTCCATTCGAAGAGGAAAGATTTATTGGATTTCTACATAATTGAAGAAAGACCGAGTTCACCAATTTGAAATCAAATAAAAATGAACTTAATATTCATGCATCATATTTAGGCATTTGCAAAAATAGGTGCATTTCCATTCATTTTATCCATGTTAAATGTTGACAGGAATTTCAAAGATTTTAGCAAAGATTCAAATCCATCACTTGATGGATAAGCTTTTTCTAGAGAAAGTTCATAATGAGAATAACTCATCTGAAGAATAAAGAAGAAGTTCATAATAAGAAGAATTTGTTCAACTTTTTGCTTAAATTCATCACTCGGTGGATCAGCAATGCCAGTTAGAGTTCATAATGAGAAGAGCTCATCTGAAGAAGAAAGAAGAAATTCATAATGAGAAGAATTTGTTCAACCTTTTGCTCAAATCCATCACTTGATGGATCAACTTTTTCCAGAGAAAGTTCATAATGAGAAGAACTCATCTGAAGAAGAAAGAAAAAGTTCATAAAGAGAAGAACTTGTTCAACTTTTTGCTTAAATTCATCACTCGGTGGATCAGTAATACCAGTTAGAGTTCATAATGAGAAGAACTCATCTGAAGAAGAAAGAAGAAATTCATAATGAGAAGAATTTGTTCAACCTTTTGCTTAAATTCATCACTTAATGGATCAACTTTTCCAAAGAAAGTTCACAATGAAGAAGGAAGAAGAAGTTCATAATGAAAAGAGCTTGTTCGACCTTTTGCATGACTCTATCACAGAAAGAGATATATCATCATCAATATTTCCAGAAGGAATTCATAATGAGAAGAATTCATCTGAAGAAGAAGAAGTTCACAGTGAGAAGAGCTTATTCAAGCTTTGCTAGATTACATCACAAAAGGAGATGAGTTGTCATCCCCAGTGGAAAAGTTCATAATGAGAAGAGCTAATCCCAAAGAAGAATTATTTCAACATTCTCATCATAATCAAGTGAAGTCAAATGAAAAAAAAATTATTATCTTTTCGTCTTTGCTATATTCTTGTTAACACAAGAATAGGCAAAGAGGGACAGCTGAAGATACTCATTTTTTTCATTTGAATATTATTTATATTATTATTATTATAATTATAATTATTATTATTATTATTATTTTATTATTAATAAATATTATTACAGGCCCAATCCAGACTTGACCGGCCCATTTACAAAAGACCCAACTGGCTCAAACCTAATAGAAATCCTAAAACCCATTTAGGGTTTAATCTCATCTTCAGCCGCCGCTCATCTCTCAGTCGTTGGATCAAATCTTGATCCAACGGTCCAAGGACCTTCATATGCAAACCCTAAGGTTATGATACCCTAGGGACCACGCGGCCGCCGTTCGTCAACTTCTGCTACCACGCTGCTACGACGCCAACCGAAGGATCCAGAAGGCCTAGCCATAGCCGCACACGTCGCCTTCAACGGTGAGTCACCACTGGAAGTTCGGTGACTCACCAAGCTTCAATCTTTTACCCGGTCCGAAGAAGATACCGGCGAGGCTTATAAAAGCCGATCACCTGCAAACAAGAGAATGACAGAGGGCAAGAACAGAAAAAAAAATATAGAAAAAAGGAGACAAAGAGAACATAGCAACCAAACCATCAAAAGATCGAAACAAAAATTAAGAGAAGCCTTACCGAAGAAGCTGCGACACCACCAGAGTTCATAAGCCGCCGTAGAAGCAAAATATCGAAGGTATTTTTCTTAGATCTAGGCAAATACGGGACGTTTTAAGGAAAACTAAGGTCAAAGTTGAACGTAGATCACTCGGATCTATCGTTCGGGAGGTTTTTGTTTTTTCCGGCCACCGACGTTGAGGTTATCGGCGACATAAGGCTGCCGGGCGGTGATCGACTTCCCTCCGATGAGGGAAGTTAGAGAGAGGCGAGAGAGTTTAAAAACTCTCTCAGAAAAAGAGAGAAGAAGAAGAGAATAATGAGGATGCTGGCCCTTCGGGCCAGTCGTTTAGGGAAATATATATCCCTTCCCGAACGACGTCGTTTTGGGAAGTGGTATATGTGTAATTTACATATGTGGACAAATCTCGTCCGCAGTCCCTCAGATTTGTAATTTTATAATTTAGTCACTAAATTAATTTATGATCCTTTTAATCTGGTTTAATAATTTTAATTTTATTTATTTTAGTCCTTTGCATAATAATAGATATTTTAAGTAAATAATCGATTTAGTCCTTGTAACTTTATTAATTAATATTTTAAACCCCGAATAACATGTTCTAATTTCTTTTAATTTGATATACGAATTTGATATAATTTTAATCTAATCACTAAATTAATAAAAGGTAGAATAACATATTTAGCCACTGAAATTTTAAATAATTAATTATGAATTAGATATTTAATTCTATTATGTTATAATTTAGTCACTAATTTCAATTTTTATTTATTTTTTTACAAGTTTTATTTATTTTAAATATATAGTTTTAATTTTGTTCATTGTTTAGTTATATGTTAATTTTATATGTTTACTTTTAATTATTATTACTATTATTATTATTATTTAACCATAAATATATATATTTATTTTATTTATTAAAATCTTATTTAATTACTTTTAACTTATTTTAATCTTGTTTTAACATTTATTTATTTTTCAATATTAAAAAAGAGCAGTCTTAAAACAACTGAATGACTATTTTCTGATATTTTTAAATAAATATCCTATTTTATAAATTATATATTAATTATTTTAATTATTTATTTATTTTTTAATATCGAAGAAAAGAACTGTCTTAAAACACCTAGAAGTTCTTTTCTGATATTTCTTAATAAATAAATATTTTATTTATAAATATATATAAATTAATATATTTTTTTCATAATTATAATTTTGAAATAATAAGTTTATAAATTAAATATATTTTGAATTTTTAAATTTCTAATAATAGAGACAATTTATAATTAAAAAGTATCAATTTTGAGCGGTGTAGGGGTGTAATCCTTCCCTAAACGTAACCAACCACGAATCTCTTTTTATTATTAAAAAGAACGAATTTTTAGTTAATTTTAATCGATATTTTCTTAAAAACTCTTTTAAATGATGATTTTTAGGTATTCGACCTACATGACCCAAAAGACCGATGGCGACTCCCAAAATATTTTTTTTAAAATCAAAATCACTTATTTATTCGTTTTATTTTTCTCACCGAGTTAAAAATTCGTACCCGGATGAAAATTGGTTACGACACAACCCATAGCAATTGTTAATACATGAGCTTGATTCCTGGTTGCGGGATTACAAACCTTATGAGTTTTTGCGGGATTACAAACCTTTCCATGTTGCTTTGAACTGGGTTACCACCTCGGATTTGCTATTAGATTCTGCTGTTGAAAATCCAGCGGGGCCAACTAAAATTAAGTGTTGAACATGTTCGGGATGCTACAGAACAGATGTAAGGGGCATGAGAACAAAAAATGTACTATCGAGCTAATTGTTGCATTGGAATATTTAAAATGCAAAAGCAATAACCTTGAGAGCATATTTAGAAGCAACATATCCTCCAAAAGAAAATGCTTTAGGAACTTCTAGAAAATGAATAGGTTCGAAAGGATTCTTAGCATTCCTCTCACTAACCTTCAGTACTTTTGCATATAAAGTCAGGCCTGCTAGATCCGCCCCAACTGGAGAGAAAGGTGAAGAAAGAGTAAGAAACTACCAATGGAACAGAAATATCAAGCTCAAAAGAGTAAGAAACATACCCTCCTTTATATGGCCTTGATGCATGCCCACGAAAATCTTATACCCATGCTCCACCACACTTTTGCCCATGTCTTACACAAAGCACAACAGAATTGATAACCGGAGCATAGGGACACATATTATGAGGTGAAAAAATATTAAAAAATATTTAAGGGTTAATTCGGTTATTTAATCAATTCGAATCGAATTAACCGTTAATCGAATATTCTAAAAATCATTAATCATTAATCGTTAACCAATCGAACTAATTCAGTGACCGACCGAATTAACTAAACTAATTAGATTCGATCGATTAATCGAATTATTTCAAAAATTTGAACACCCTAAACTCTATAGCTTTAGCACACTGACAATCTAAAGTACAAAAGCAATCAGGGATATTTGAAGACCATGAAATGATAAAGGAATTCCACATCAAATTCAGCCATTAAAAAATTATCCTCGTTTTGCCTTCCATACCCAAAAAAAATGGAATAAAAATAAACGCGTCTTTGTAAACAACAAATTAAACAAAAATACACAATCTTGCAAAGCAATCAGAGAACTTTGAAGACCCAGATTGGGATTCCCACACGGGAGATTTAGATTTTAAACTGTCTTCCTCATTTTGCTTTGCGATTATTCAGACCAGGAAAAATAACCGTTTTCTGGCACCAAACATTGTTCTAGCGAGATCAAATTCAAACCAAAAACTGGATGTAGGTGCCAAAAAAGTGTCGATTTTGCACCTCTACCTTTTTCTCGTTTTTTCCTTGCAACTGGAAACTCTAAGAAGCAAGGGGCTATTTGGTGCTTAACACTGCTACTAAATACTAACCTCTAAATCAAACATCGCAAAAAGGAAAATCTAGGGACTTCGATCGGAAAAAAGGCTTCTTTTGATTTTTGAATAGAAAATAAAATTTGGGAGAAAGGGGATTAGGGTTTAATTTTAAACTGCTGACACTGAATTTATACCAAGTGGGCACCGAGAAACGACGACGCATTTGCTTTTGAGGATCCGGTTCGGGGTTTCCGGGCTTTCAATTAAACTTCATTGGCAGGGCCTAGTCCTCCAACAATTATAAGCTTCTATTCATTTTTCTTTTCGTGACAAACTAAAGTTGGAATAGTATCTACAATTACTTAGTTTAGTGGGATGATATATTAAATTTTTTAAATAAAATTAAGGATTTGAATATTTAGGTTATAAATAAATATCTTGGGCTAAAAGTATCGTCCGTAATTAATAACTATAATATACAATTTAAAATAATTTATCAATAAATCAAATACTAATAATTAAAAAATATATACGAACAATATTTTGATAAACATATCTTACAAAAACCACAACTCCATTATGCATGTTTGTGTGTTTTTATGTCTATATTTTTAATTTGTTTTATTTATCTGGAGTGATTATAAGATAATGAGTTTACTGTGCGCTAGGCATATAGAGTTTAATCTAAGCTTCACCAGAATGAATCGACAATTGCTTGGCAGGTGGTGTGGGGAACAAGGGTACCGCAAAGAATTAAGGTTCTTTTGTAGATTGTTTTACATGGAAAATTAATGACAAATGAAGAAAGGTTCAGGCGCCACCTTGCTCCGAATGCTCAATGTCCTCTTTGTGGTCACGATGTGGAGGATATGGAGCATGTCCTTCGAAGATGTCCCTCTGCGGCGGCGACATGGCGAAAGTTAATTAAATCGGAGAAGCTTGAGCAGTTTATGTCTATGACCAATACTGCTTGGCTCATGGCCAACTGAATAATAGAATGAGTTTTCCGATTAATGATTCAAATTGGGAACTGCGTTTTGCTATTGTTTGTTGGAAGATTTGGAAAAGGTGCACCATTGTTTTTCAACCAGGCTTTATTGAGCATGATGACCTGATCGTGCAAAGTTTGCGTCTCAAGGAGGAAGTCTTGGCTACTGCCTTGAACGAGGAACCAATCTGAGTGATTAAATTAAACATATTGAATTTAAAAAGATAAAAATAAATTGTAATTAAAAAGTGACTAAAATAGAGAAAATTAAAAATATAGGAATAAATAAATAAATAATAAAACTTATGGTAAAAATTAAAAGTTATTAAAATGAGTGATTAAATTATAATATATTAAAATTAAAGGCTCTAGTTCAAAATATTATGAAAACTAAGTATTAACAGTGTAATTTGACATTAATAAATTATTCAGGACTAAAAAAAATTAATAAAATTATAAGGGACTAAAATAGGTATTTATCCTAAAATTATATAAATAAGATAGTGACTAATATAAATAAAACAAAATTACAAAACAAAATTAAAAATGCACGAAAACATACTGTAGTGACTAAAATAAAAGTTTGCAAAACATCAAGGATTGCGGGAATAGTTCGTCCATCAATAAAATTACGCATACACCCCTCCCCAAAACGACGTCGTTTGGGAAGGAGAATATAAACCCATTTAACCGACCTGAATGGTCGGTTCTCTCATTTCTCTCTTTCTCATTCTCTCTCTAAGAGAGAGAGATATCAATTTCTCTCACTTCTCTCTAGCTTTCCTCGCCGGAGGAAAGTCCGGCAGCCGTCGGCAACTGTGCTCTGGTAGTGATCGCCGCCGCCGGCCACTATACACGGTGGCCGGATTTTACATAAATACTCCAAAATGAAACCCTGAACACCCTAAAGTCAAATCCGACCTTAGTTTCCCATAAAAAACCTCTGATCGAAGTAGATCTAGAGAAATACCTTAGGGTATTTCGAAGGTTTCGTCGGCGTGTAGCGTTTCCGGTCACCATGTGGTTTCCTCGGTAAGCTCTCTATCCTTTCTTTCTTTCTTTCTTTCTTTCTTTCTGTTTTATGGATTTGGTGGTTTTATTTGTTGTTGGTGTTCGTATCTTCTTCTGTTTTCCTTCTCGGTGGTTGCTCCGTCGCTTCCGTTCTTGTTCTCTCTTTTTTTTTTTGTAGGTTTGGTGGCCATATTTATAGGCCACCACGGAGTCCCCATCGGTCCGGTTAAAGGGTGAAAGCCTCGGGGAGTCACCAAACTATGGTGGTGACTCACCCTAGAGCATGTGACGTGGATGGGCAGCTGACCTTCTGGAGCATTCTGGCGAGGCAGCGCCATCGGCAGTAGAGTGTGGACGTGGAGGTAGCGGTCGCGTGGCCCTAGGGTTATGATACCCTAGGGTTTACTGTTGGGACCATCTGGTCTGTTGGATCAAGGCTAGATCCAACGGTTGAAAGGAGTTAGCGGCTGCTAGAAATTATACAAACCCTAATTGGGTTTAGGGTTAGTTTTGGGCCTAGACCGGGTTGGGCTTGTAAATTGGGTCGGGTTTATATTTTGGGCCTTTAATATAAATTTATAATAATAATAATAAAATAATAAAATAAAATAAAATAATTATAATAATATTTATAATGAATAAAACTAATAATATAAATATAAATAAAAACAAATGGATGAAAAAACTAGTATCTTCAGCTGCCCTCTTTGCTCATTCTTTTGTTAACAAGAATAGGGCAAAGACAATAAGATAATAAGTTTTTTTTATCCATTTGACTTCACTTGATTGGGATGGCAATGTTGAACAAGTTCTTCTCATTATGAACTCTTTTATTGGGGATGACAATTCATCTCTTCCTGTGATGTAATCTAGCAAAAAGTTGAACAAGTTCTTCTTATTATGAACTTTTTATTCCTCGTCAGATGAGTCATTCTCATTATGAACTCCTTCTGGAAATGCTGATCCTTGAAAGAGGGGTTGTTAGTTCGGCTTCATATGTGATGAATTAAGGCAAGCTTGAACAAATTCTTCTCATTATGAACTTATTCTCCTTCTTCAGACGAGCTCTTCTTCTTATGAACTTCTTCTGAAACTGTTGATCCTCAAGAGAGGTTCTTCTTTCATTCAACTCCATAGGTGATGAATCAAACTAAGGTCGAACAAAAGGAGTTAGCGGCTGCTAGAAATTATACAAACCCTAATTGGGTTTAGGGTTAGTTTTGGGCCTAGACCGGGTTGGGCTTGTAAATTTGGTCGGGTTTATATTTTGGGCCTTTAATATAAATTTATAATAATAATAATAAAATAATAAAATAAAATAAAATAATTATAATAATATTTATAATGAATAAAACTAATAATATAAATATAAATAAAAACAAATGGATGAAAAAACTAGTATCTTCAGCTGCCCTCTTTGCTCATTCTTTTGTTAACAAGAATAGGGCAAAGACAATAAGATAATAAGTTTTTTTTATCCATTTGACTTCACTTGATTGGGATGGAAATGTTGAACAAGTTCTTCTCATTATGAACTCTTTTATTGGGGATGACAATTCATCTCTTCCTGTGATGTAATCTAGCAAAAAGTTGAACAAGTTCTTCTTATTATGAACTTTTTATTCCTCGTCAGATGAGTCATTCTCATTATGAACTCCTTCTGGAAATGCTGATCCTTGAAAGAGGGGTTGTTAGTTCGGCTTCATATGTGATGAATTAAGGCAAGCTTGAACAAATTCTTCTCATTATGAACTTATTCTCCTTCTTCAGACGAGCTCTTCTTCTTATGAACTTCTTCTGAAACTGTTGATCCTCAAGAGAGGTTCTTCTTTCATTCAACTCCATAGGTGATGAATCAAACTAAGGTCGAACAAGTTCTTCTCATTCTGAACTTCTTCTTCCTCTTCAAATAAGTTTTTCTCATTATGAACTTTATCTGGAAATGTTGATGCTGATCTATCTCCTTCTGTGATAGAATCATGTAAAAGGTTGAACAAGTTCTTCTCATTATGAACTTCTTCTTCCTCTTTAGATAAGTTCTTCTCATTATGAACTTTCTCTGGAAAAGTGTATGATGATCTATCTCCTTTTGTGATAGAATCATGTAAAAGGTTGAACAAGTTCTTCTCATTATGAACTTCTTCTTCCTCTTCAGATAAGTTCTTCTCATTATGAACTTTCTCTGGAAATGCTGATCTATCTCCTTCTGTGATAGAGTCTAGCAAGAGGTTGAACAAGTTCTTCTCATTATGAACTTCTTCTTCCTCTTCAGATAAGTTCTTCTCATTATGAACTTTCTCTGGAAAAGTGAATGTTGATCTATCTCCTTCTGTGATAGAGTCTAGCAAAAGGTTGAACAAATTCTTCTCATTATGAAATTCTTCTTCCTCTTCAGATAAGTTCTTCTCATTATGAACTTTCTCTGAAAAAGTGTATGCTGATATATCTCCTTCTGTGATAGAGTCTAGCAAAAGGTTGAACAGGTTCTTCTCATTATGAACTTCTTCTTCCTCTTCAGATAAGTTATTCTCATTATGAACTTTTTCTGGAAAACTGTATGCTGATCTATCTCCTTTTGTGATAGAGTCTAGCAAAAGGTTGAACAAGGTTTTCTCATTATGAACTTCTTCTTCCTCTTCAGATAAGTTCTTCTCATTATGAACTTTCTCTGGAAATGTTGACCTATCTCCTTCTGTGATAGAGTCTAGCAAAAGGTTGAACAAGTTCTTCTAATTATGAACTTCTTCTTCCTCTTCAGATAAGTTCTTCTCATTATGAACTTTCTCTGGAAAAGTGTATGATGATCTATCTCCTTCTGTGATAGAGTCTAGCAAAAGGTTGAACAAATTC